TATTTATAATTGTATGATTTTGTTTAATAATAGAAACTAGCTGCATAACGCAATTTATCTACTGATTTTGGTCACGTGGTACAAAACTATAGGTCTCGCGTAATTTGCTATGAACCCTGGAATCTAAAATGGCGTCTTTCGTCTTGTTTTTTTTCTCCGACTCGGTGTACGGTAAATGAAGTCAATTTTTTATGACCACCTTCATCATTTCACAGCGCAAATAGGTTCTGGTCATTGTTTGGAAGTAAATAAACATAGTGAGTACTTTCAAAGGTCTTAAAATGTGATTTTCGCAACGACCAAATTTGGCATGTGGATTTTAACCGGTATTCAGTCGCACAAGGCTCCATAGCCCTATGGGCCGGCCAGAGTCAGTCACGTAAATAATGCGGTCGGCAACATAGGGCTATGATTCCACAGCTAATGACGGCCAAGTGAATTTATAAATTATAATATTTTCTCGAATCTAACATTTCGGTTTTTGACGTAATTTAAATTGATGATATGGCGGTAAGTGATCACAATTTATATTTTAACTGTGAACTGATTCTCAAAGTTATATCTGTAGTGGTGACATATGGTTTTCAACAATATGATTTTGAAATGAATGGTTAAAATCAAAATCCTATTTTCATTTTGGCATGTTTCATTTTATTGAATCACAGTTGATGACAGCCCAAAACAACAAATGACAACAAATCAAAGACAAACTCAAACTACAATGTTACCAGTTGAGTAAGTTCTGTTCTCACACAACTGAGGGAATTCCGAGATCCACAACTATTATCTTAACAAAAAATCACCATCATCCACTTTCAGCTCCAAAACTTCATCTAAAAATGTGAAATATGGATGGACTTTGCATGATTCAATGACAGTGCCAAAGTAAACTCAACTCAACAAATGGTATGGCTGGAACAACTAAAACTAAATTTTGTTCCAGACATTGACAAATGTCACTGTTCTATAGTGTACATTGCAGGATTCACAGTCAATTCATTCCATTTCACATTCATCCCAACACATTTGTCCCACAAGTGGATTTGTCCCAATTCACATTTGTCCTATGAGTCGATTCGTCCCAATTCACACTCGTCCCATTTCCCCTTTGTTTCATTTTTTTTTTGGTCACCATTACGATTTTGGGCAGTGTGATGTTGATTTCTATGTTTGTGTGCAAGGAGTTGAAATCACCGTACGGTGCGTGCTGTGTCTTGTCGGTTTATGTTGCAGGTTCGGACAACTGTATATAATTACGGTCTTGCTTGCTATATACCACAAATTGTGACTACCCAGCATCACCATACTTACTGGTATACTCGTAACTGTAATGAAAGAGTATGTAGCCACCCTCAACCTATCTACGGTTTACAGTGGGCGTAAGATATTTTCTTACACCAAACTCCTGCACCTGGTAGGCATACATATGCTCGGTCATTTAATGAATTCTATTTTGAATGTTTCTCGAAAATACATACATATAATAAAATTACCCTTGTGAGAACAGTTTAGTTTTGAATGCAGTTTCTGATTTGAACAATTATTATTATGTCAAAGCGTGTAGACGAAGACACTGAGATGGAGATCGCTGAGGAAGTTAGACTAGCGAGGCCAATGGTTCAATGGTTTGTGTGGTATTTCTGTCGCATCGGTTGGATACAATCCGACATGAGTATCTGCCGTCCTTGACTGAAATCTACCTAAGAAATGTTTGAGTTTATCGAATTTCGTCTTTGATCTGAAGGCTATTTAAAACTGGTATATGGTGACCATGTAGAAATGAAACTAAAAGTAGAAGATTCCTGGGAAAGATTGACTGGGTGATGAGTGTTCTGGCAAACTGGCAAAGGGACATGCCATTTTTAGCAAGAAATGTAGAACGCAACACTCACAACGCTAATGTTATTAATATAAACCCATTGAGAACATCTCAACAAACTACCAATCAAAGAAATTTACATTTATCATTTCTTGTTAATATTCATTCCTATTTTAATGTGTTACACAGCAATGATTTTGCGTGTACAGCGTATTTATATTTATTAACTTGTAACTTGTATGTTACAAGTACGACGTATTTGTATTTATTAACTAATACAAGTAATACTAATAATTCTACATTGCGTTTACGGTGTATTTGTATTTATTAACTAATAATTTGTACGTTATGTGTATGGCATATTTGTATTTGCTATGAATTATTGGCAACAGATGGCGTTGACTGTCAGTCATTGTGTGCGTTACACACTATAGTTTCACTGTACTTGGAGTTGAATACTCACATTCCATCATTCGCGACTTCTCACTTACATTTTATTGTCAAAGATTTTCTGATCTTGCTGAATCATTAGCTGTGAGTTGAATCCATTTGCCTTTGATTTTTGTTAGTCTTGTGGCTGTCGACTCAATGTGCAAATAACTGAAAATAGTGCATCAATAAAATGAACATGATTTAAAGATTTTTGTTATTCTTTTCAAAATCCTATTGTTGAAAGAGATTTCACCCTCACAAACATGACTTCGAAAACCACAGGTAAACTTTAAATTACGATTGCGCACCTCCAATTTATCAATTGAAATTACACCAAAAACCAAAATGTTATATTCTAAAAAATATCAGAAAATTACTTGGGCATCATAGGCTATGGTCAAAATGTTCATACATGTATTTACGGATTTCAATTCTGAGTGGTATAATCCCATTATGTAACTTTGCAATAACTGCCACGTTCTTGAATGTCATATCCAGTTTTCAATGAACCAATGTAATATGATCTTTTTCAACAGAAAAGAATAAGATGAGTGATGTGCGAGATATATTGGATTTGGATGATGGGAGATCGTCAACTCCCAAACCACTAACAAAAGAGGAAATATTAGGAACTGAAAAAATGGTGAGAAGTACATACGAATATAGTACATAATTAACATGTAGTACTGTAAAATCTCTATTAGAAGCTGCGGCTTCTATTAAAATGGTACAATTCAACAGAGGGAATGCGGCTTCTATTAGAGCATCTACACATATGACAAATTGTGAATTTTGGTTCTCAATTGTTCAAAAAGAATGGGTGCGGCTTCTATTAGGGATGCGGCTTCTAATACAGATTTTACGGTAGCAGTGGTCATTTCAGTTTGTTTTTTTCAATCCCTACAGCTATGGTAATATGTACAGTATGTCAGTATTTCGTGGGCAAGCTTGCACTGTGGTGCTTACATGTACATGCTCACTGGAGATATATCAATATAAACGTTTGATTCAAATGATTTGACTTTGTGTTTCCATTATCCCTATTACAGAGACCTAAGAGATTAATTGATTCCACATTCAAGAGACCAGAAGGCATGCATAGAGAAGTATATGCACTTTTATATTCAGATAATAAGTAAGTTATTTATCATGCATGGTTTGTATTCATACTCTTTCCTCTGTTCTACAATGAGTTCATGATTTGAAATACGGAAAATATTTTTACTGTGTGGCTTGAACTATTTAATTTCCCTACACATTGATCATAACAGTGAGCATGCAGGTATATGAAAACCACTATTGATGTGTTTTTTTTTTACAATTTTTATTGCTATATGCATAAATAGAATTATTAAAAGTTACATTACAAAAATATAATATATGCAAAATTTATTCAAGTTCCAAAATTATTCATTTACTGAAGGTCTTGTTGATGATGACTACAATCACAACATTATTTTTTTGATCAACATTTCTTTGCAAAAATTGTCCGTCTGGTCCAACAGAAAATGTTCATTTATTTGGAGGGAAATATCGACCGTGTATAACTGCACAAGTGCTGTAAAATGCTATTTTAGCTGGAATTTTTGCATGTTTTGTATGGAATTTATTTTCACTGATTTTTGAGAGTTGAATGTAAAATGTAGGAAAAAAAGTATACTGCGGAGTACTTTATTTTCACAGGAATTAATTTTCGCTGAAAAGACTTTTTGAGCATTTTGTATTGTATGGAATTTATTTTCACTGATTTTGATGAGTTTTATGTGAAATATAGGAAAAAAAGTTCACGAAAATAGCGAAAATATATTCCAAGTGAAAATGAAGTATTCTACAGTATTCGCTGGATTTTATTTTTAATGAATTATTCCTTTCAGCGAAAATAGCAAAAATAAAGTATTCTACAGTAATTTATTACTATAGAGAGTATAAAATGATAATTTTATTTTGCAGGGATGCACCTCCACTAATTCCAAGTGATACATCTCAAGGCTACAAACAAATGAAAGCTAAACTAGGTCGTAGTAAAGTCCGTCCCTGGAAGTGGATGCCATTTACTAATTCAGCAAGAAAGGTACATGTCTGTGAGATCAGTGGTGTTATTAACATAAGAAAATAATTTGAGGTGTCTGCTGTTGTCTCTCAAACCATATTGCCAAAGAAGCTATTTTCGGGAACGAAAATCCAGGCATTTTTACCGCCTGGCAACCCAACCTATGAAATCTCAAAAAACTGTACTTTAACAGAAAGTTGAAACTCTCCTCAACAGTATAACAAGATGTGCAACATGTACAAATTTAGTTGTTTTGAATTGTGTATTTGTTGATTTAGGTCTGTTTTCTTGACTTTAGCCTTTTCCATCGGCTCTTTGACCGACGCTCCACAGCAGCTCACACAGAGCCCATAGAAATACATGGTAGAGTGGTATGCGTCTTAGCAACGTGAACAGTTCTGTGATGTAGCTCGGTCCTGAGAATATTCTGTATTTTGAATAGTAGATTCATCATCAGTGTTTGATCTCGGAGCAGAGAGATCACCCTCTGCCTAGTCACCCATTTTCAAAGCCAAAATTTAGAAAATCTTAATAATAATAGGAATAATGGTGGGAATAATGACAGGCACTAAGACTGACTCATTGGGTTTCTAAGGCTTTGATGACCTTGTAAAGTTGAAGCCCTTGATTTCTTGAGAATAATAAATAACTCTTATACAATCAGTGAATTATTTTTTATTGTAGGATGGCGCAATATTTTATCACTGGAGAAGATCGGCTGATGAAGGAAAAGACTACCCATTTGGTAGATTCAACAAGGTGAGAAGTGATAACCAATTCTAATGTTTCGCAGTTATGAGTTTTTACCTTGCCCGTACCATCAAAGATGGAAGGGAAAGGTATATTAAGGGAAAAATTTTGTCCGGCGTTGTCGTCGTCGTCGTTAATAATTGTTATTGTGTGCATAATAACTTTACTAATTCTATTCCAAACTTTATCAAACTTGGTCACCTTAATCATCAGTATAAAGTCTTCCCTGAGTTTGAACAACAGATGTCCTGTATGAAAATATCATGCAAAAATTGAGAAAATCTGATAAAATATTTTGACTGTTTCTACTTGACTGATCACTGGTGATACACATCAAAGGTCACTGATCTCAGTGGAAATATGCATTGTTGTATGTGTTCAATGAAGCAAATGATTTATCTTGTAATAATATCCTTGGTAATGTATCTCAGAATCCCATACTGTGTTTCAAAACCAACTCATGGAGAGATTGCACAGTCTGATACACATTTGCAAACCTACCAATAAAATCTTTACAGAAAACAAGATGTCAGAAAATCAATATAAGCACTGCTATGAACTGGGTGCCTGATGAAC